TGGGAGTGTCGCGGAGGGCGCCGTGGGGTGCTGGGGGAGGGGCTACCACCTCCCTGGGGGGCTGGCGGGCTTTGGACCGGTCCTGACCCTATGGAGGGAGGGGCGTCTGAGTGGACCTCGGGGCGAGGGGCTGTGGGCGTCTCAGGGGTCCTGGAGACGGAATGAAGCTAAGTGTTGGTGTTAGGGGAAGGAAGGGCCTTTTTGGGCGGGTAGGATGCCTTGGATCCCCCAGTGGGGGGCCGTGCCAGCCTGGAAAAGAGGAGTGGAGCACTGGGCGGGGCCCCAGGGAAGGTTGAGGGGCTCTGAGTAGAGCCCTGCCTCTTTGGGGAGGGGTCTGTGAGTTTTCTCCGTCTCCCGGTGTGCTCTGGGCCTTTGTTCCTATAGCAACAGCTCTGCAGCCCAAGGTAGCTCTCCCTGAGACCCACCCTTTTTCTTTTTTCTTTGGTACCGGAATCGAACTGGGTTCTTGCGCTTTTGCAAGGCAGGCAGCGGAACCACTGAGCTAATTCCCCGGGCCCCACCCTTCTTGTCCCTCCTCGCTGTATTGCCTCCCCTCTGTCCTCTACTCTCCTGACCCCTGTACCTTTGTTGGGTTGAGGGACCCGACTTGGGAAACGGAGGAGGGACAGGGCAACTGGAATGAAAAGGGGAGAAGGGAAGTCAGTGAGTGGTCAGTCCCTTCCTCTGCTTGTAAAGTCACTGAAAGGCCGCCTGGCTGGTCTCCAGCTTTCTCTCTGGAGATCCCAGGCCTTCACAGCAGGAAGGAACCAGCATTGTTTATGATTTGGCCAGAGCCCTCTCCTGCTCGCTTTTCTCCTGGACAAGCCCAGGGTGGGGCCACCAGGCCCGGGTTCTCCCTTTATAAAGCCAGCAACGTCTCTCTGGCCCTCTCAGCTCAGCTTATGACCACGTGCGCAAGACTCGAGTGGCCATAAAGAAGATCAGCCCCTTCGAGCATCAGACCTACTGCCAGCGGACACTACGGGAGATCCAGATCTTGCTGCGCTTCCACCATGAGAATGTCATAGGCATCCGAGATATTCTCCGGGCGCCTACCCTGGAAGCCATGAGAGATGTGTATCCTTCACTTTGCCAGCTGGCTGGCCAGGCACAGCCTCAGACATGGACTGGGGAATGTTGACCTTTATGTTTCCATCTTCCCTACTGCCCTCCTAAACAGACCTAGCAAAAGAAACTTTCCAATAGAGGAGAGGCCACGGTGTGTGAGAGGACAGGGAGGCCTCAGATGTATCCCGGCTCTTTGGAGCCAGGCAGGGTGGTCTTGGACAAGTCCTCCACTCTGTGCCCTCGTGGAGAGGGGCGGAGTGAGGCGGGACAAGATGGTCTCTATGGGAATCTTTGTCCTCTGACATCTGCAGTTCTGCGACACTGTCAATTCTGCCCACAGTCAATTCTTGCTTAACAAACTACTGACCCTTTCCTCGCTGGGTCCCCAGACTAGAAAGAAGGCAGGAAGGAAGAAAACTGTCTTTTCTCGTAGGCCTACTGCGTGTCGGGCACTGTGCATGCCAAGTGCTTTGATGGTTCTCACGCTACCTTTGGCACAAACCATAGAAAGTCTCAGATCAAGCGTCTCCATGGCTGCCTCCTCCCCTCCCCCAGGTGGGACTTGTCCTTTCTCTGAGCTTCCTGCTTAGAGCCCCACCCTCATCACCTGTGGGCTCACACCTTGCCCAGGGAGGGCAGCCCAGCCTTTGTTACCTTTCCTGATACTTCTGCCTGGTTTGTTTTCTGCTTCCTACCTACGTATAACACCCACCACCTCTTCATTACTCACCCCTGCCAGTCCCAGCCCTCCACCCAGAAATGAGGATTTATTCTGTGGCATCTTCAGTCCCTACCACAGACTGAGGACACAAAATCACACATTCACCTCAGCCTGCTGTGTTACCTTAAGCAAGGCACTGCATCTGGGCCTCCCCATCTATAGAGAGCAAGATTTATCCAGACGTTCTCTGTAAAACACAGTCCTGACTTATTCTTCCAGAGACGAGCCACATGACATTTATTTAGGTTTAACCTTCGTCTTATCTTCAAGTATAAAAAGGACATTTACTCCTGTACCTTCTGGTGTGTGGCCAGGCACTCATCTTTGAGTAGGAGCATGCTGTTGGTAGTATCGCCTCACTTTTCTGGCACACATCGTTCCCATAAGGCAGGCATTTATTTTTAAGCAAACATTTATTGCATGCCAGATGGTATTCATGCATTATCTCTCTTAACCCCCTCAACAGCCAGGTGGCTCAGGGCTTTGTATTAGCAATAGAAGTTCGTGTTTGCTGAGCACTTACAACATGCCAAGCACTGGGCTGAGTGCTCTGTGTGGCTCATCTCATCTGATCCTCACAGCCACCCTCTAAAGAACAGTTACTTCCCCTGCTTGCCAGATGAGTAAACTGAGGCACAAACAGGTTATGATCATAAAGCCAGTGAGTAGTAGAGTGGAAACTTTGGACACCAGCTGGTTAACTTCAAAGCTGCTGCTCAACGCTGAAGTTCTCTTGCTTCCTGAAGTTTATTAGTATCCTTATATCCCTAGTAGGGCAATTGAGGCCTCAGACTAGAAGTGCCTTACTCAGGGTCACCAGCTGAGGTGCAACAGAGGCGCTAAGCTGTGCCCATCTCACAAGTCCAAAGGGCATCCTGGTCTGGAGGGCATGTGCATCCTGGTCGCCAGAGTCTCCTTTCCTTAACCAGGTGCCTCCTGGTGCCCCCCAACCCAGGGGGGCGTCTCTGGAGGCCTCCTCAGCTACATTGTACAGGACCTAATGGAGACAGACCTGTACAAGCTGCTTAAAAGCCAGCAGCTGAGCAACGACCACATCTGTTACTTCCTCTACCAGATCCTGCGGGGCCTCAAGTATATCCACTCAGCCAATGTGCTCCACCGGGATCTAAAGCCCTCCAACCTGCTCATCAACACCACCTGCGACCTTAAGGTCAGAAGGTTGGGTGGCTGCCCTCCTCTCCTGGGCCTAGGGCTGACCAGTAGAGTCTTGGGCACAGCGGCCAGGGAAACAGCCTAGCAACAGTGCAACAGTGGGACCACTGGGGCTGTGGCAGGCTTAGCAGCCTGGCTTCCACTCCAGATCTGTGATTTCGGCTTGGCCCGGATTGCTGATCCTGAGCATGACCACACTGGCTTTCTGACCGAATATGTGGCCACACGCTGGTACCGGGCTCCAGAGATCATGCTTAACTCCAAGGTAAGAGAACTTGCCACCCTCAGGAGGTGGAACCCTGTGCCCAGGTGTTGACCTTTGACACAGGATATCTGCCTTCCAGTCCTGGGACTCTGAAAGGAAGCAGAGCATTGGTTCTTCCAGACTTCTGTGCTCTGTGTTTTGCCTGGCATTGAGTCAGGCTGCTGAGACCAGCCCAAAAGCCCACATCTCCCATCTTTCCCAGGGCTACACCAAGTCCATCGACATCTGGTCTGTGGGGTGCATTTTGGCTGAGATGCTCTCCAACCGGCCCATCTTCCCAGGCAAACACTACCTAGACCAGCTCAACCACATTCTGGGTGAGGAGGCCTGGCTGTCCGAACGGAAGGGGATTAGTTTATGGATGGTGAGATTCCTCTAGGGTCAAGTTAAGGGTGCCACCACATGTGGAACCCCTGCAGTACTCCACATTATTTCAGGGAGGTGTGTGTCTCAGTTTGATAGGTGGGAAAGCAAGGCTAAGTCCCAGACCAAACGAAGTGCTAGAGCCAGGATTTGAACCTAGGGCTATCTGAGTTCTGGCCTGTCATCTTCACTGTACTCTTTGTCTGGGAGGTAAGGGTAGAGTCGGGGCAGTGGCTGGGCTGGCTCTGTTTTTCTTAGTATATGTGCTGCCGAAGCGAGTGCTGGCTCTGTTTTTCTTGACTCTTCCCGTGTTCTGTTCTCTGGCCAACGTGATTTCTCACTAAGACATTCATCTAACCCACAGGTATCCTGGGCTCCCCGTCCCAAGAGGACCTGAATTGTATCATTAACACAAAGGCCCGAAACTACCTACAGTCCCTGCCCTCTAAGACCAAGGTGGCCTGGGCCAAGCTTTTTCCCAAATCAGATTCCAAAGGTGAGAGAGATTTGGGGCGGGGGTGGCTACAACCTGGGTGTGTGCACAGGCTGCATGGTGCCCCACTACCTTAGTCGGCAGGCCCTGGGCACGGGACAGACTGATGCTGCTGGAGCTCCCACCTTCACTCTGACCCTGCTTCCTACCTTTCCTTAGCTCTTGACCTCCTGGACCGGATGTTGACCTTCAACCCCAATAAACGGATCACAGTGGAGGAGGCGCTGGCCCACCCCTACCTGGAGCAGTACTATGACCCCACAGATGAGGTGGGCCAGCCACCAGCAGCAGGGAAGGTGGGGGAATGGGCACCCCCAGCACCTAGCCAGGCCTTACTGTCTTTGCCACCCCAGCCAGTGGCTGAGGAGCCCTTCACTTTCGACATGGAGCTGGATGATTTGCCCAAGGAGCGGCTGAAGGAGCTCATCTTCCAAGAGACAGCCCGCTTTCAGGCAGGGGCATCAGACCTCCCCTAACCAGGACGTGCATCCCTGCCTTCTGGGGCCTGGTGAGTAGCCCTGGCAGCACAGTGTCCAGCACACCTCAGCACAGTCACAGGTTTGCCTCACACCTGTGACCCATGTGTGGTGGCAGCAGACTCATGGCCCTGCCCTGTCCTCCAGCCCCTTACCTCTTACTTGTCAGCACCTTGCACCCTCCCACCCAGCAGCCCTTCAGACCCAAGGTCACTGGGGGCCTCTTCTCGCTGTGAGGAGCAGAGCCAGGCTTTGGTACCCAGTGTGGGCAGAGCCAGATGAGGCTGTTATTGTTTGGGAAGGAGCCCTGCAGCACCCACTCACCGAGGTGCCAGGCTTCGACATGCTGCCCAGGTCAGCCATTTACATACCTGAACTCCTGGGGCTGCCCCAGCCACGCTGCAGTCTTTCCTCCCTCCCACCTCTTCCTGTCTTTGGCCAGCTGTGATCTGACACAATGAGGGCAGACATACGTGGGCACAGGATCCAAGCTCTGCCACTCAGGCTTCATGATGCTGTGCAGGACCCTCACTTCCATTCTGTAGCGAGGGCAGGCACTGGTGGCATCCTAGGTAGTGTTGCAGGAGGGTCCTGTGTACAGACCAGGATGGCCCTTGCAGTGGTCCTGTCAGCCCCTTTGCAGACAAGGAAACAGGGTGAACTGAGCACACTGTGGCGCTCCTCTTGGGGCATTAACATCCTTCCTGCCTGCTTCTTCCTTAGGCCTGGCTCCTGCCTACCCTCCCCTGCTGGACTGTTAGGAAGTGGATGCTGTGTGCAGCCCCAGCCGAGGCTTCTCCCACTTTGCTGGGGACTCCTGCGTTGGGCAGGCCAAGGCTCCCTCTCACCCCACCTGGCCCTGGAGCCTGAGGAGCTCAGGTGGCCCAGAGCAAATCTCTGCTGCTCTGCCTTCATCTCCCCCAGCTGGCCCATCTCTGGTAGGCTAGACCTTTCTGGAATGGAAAGGCTCTGGCTGCCGCAGGACCTACCCCAGCGACTCAGAGTCTGAGTAGGGACTCTGGCAAGCTCTGCCCCACTCCTCCCATTGAAACCCCACCCCAAACCCCACCCCGTTTTCCTTGAAGAACATTCCTAAGTCTCAAGGGCTAGTATTCCTGAGGAGCCTGTCCTGGCCTAACCCGCCCCCCAGCTGCCACATTTAATGCCCTCCATGCTTCTGTGGAGTGGGGGCCCAAGGAGAGCGCAGTGCCCTTGCTCACTTCCCGTGCCTGTATCTAATATATAAATATAGAGACATGTATACGGATGGTCTGGCTGTGTGTGTGTGTGCGCACGCGCGATGCCGACCCTACAGTGCTACTTGAGGCCTGACCTCTGTAGCCAGCTGCTCCCAGTGGTGGCCTCACGTGGTCCGGTGACCTTTTGCTCTAGCTGGGCAGGGCTGAGGATGGGGTTAGGCCCTCCAGCTCCTGGGAGGACTGGGGTCAGTTTCCCCTCAGGCACTGTGCCCTCCTCCTCTATTCTTGTTTGGCTGTGTGGGGTGATTCAGGGGTGACTCAACAACCAGGTGCATATGCCCAGATTCCTTGGAAATAGCATGAGGTGGTATGCTGTATACCCTGGCCATGACACCCATGGGAAGGTGAAAAACCTAGCGGGGAGGGCATTTCTTCTCCCAACCGTGTGGCCACTGGGCGCTGGGTCTCTGAAAGGCGGAGGAATAGGGGTCAGAGCTGCCTGCTTTGATTCCTGCCTCTGCCCCAGCCAAGCCCGCAGCCTGGCTTCAGGCCAGCAGCACAGCAGCAGGCTCAGTAAGTCCCAGGGGCGTGGCACGGTGGGTGGTGGGGCCAGCCTACACCAGCCGGGCCGGGCTGGCAGCAGCAAGACGCGCAGTCCATGGACAGGAACAGACGTCGGACGCTGCACTGACAGCACAGGAGTCCAGATAGGGAGTGCGGCCATGAGTCCCCTGCTCTTCTATGCCCTGCCTGCCCTGGGCAGCTACATCGTGCTCTCCATCTTCTTCCTGCGCCGGCCTCGCCTGCTACATGCACCCTGTACTCCAGCTTTCTGTCCCCGCCTGGTGGCTCACCGGGGAGGTAAGCTGGGCAGGAAGGGGAGGAAGGGACAGGGTGGCAGCTGTTTGGGGTGAAGGGAGGCCATAGTGGGCAGCACTGAGGAGGGTAGGGCCCCAGGCAGAATGCTAGATGCAAGGCAATGGCCGAGTAGAGGAGAGCTGGGTAGGCAGGGCGGGAGTTGGAAAGAGAGGCTGGCTGGATCTGGGTTACTGGAAGGGAGGGTGGGGGATGAGGGGACTGCCCACTGCCCTGCACAGGGTCTGGAGAGCGGCTGGAGAACACCATGGAGGCCGTAGAGAAGTGAGTGTGCCTGCCCTGCCACAATGCTATGTAAGGTTGTGCCAGTCATGCACTGCAGACACCCAGGATGACATTCTCTTCCCAATCTGGGTGGGTGTCTGGATGCCCTGCACACCCCACCATGACTGTCCCGTGGTCCCCCACACCCACCTCATCTGTCCATCCCTGTCCCCAGCCCCTCTGACCTTTGTTCTCATAGCTCCGTGGCTCAGGGAGCTCAGCTCCTGGAACTCGACTGCCAGCTGACCCGGGATGGTGTGGTGGTAGTGTCACATGACAAGAACCTGTCCCGCCAGTCAGGCCTGAATAGGGACGTGGGCAGCCTGGACTTTGAGGTGGGCCTTGCCTGTGTGTCCCCTGCCCAGAGCGGCCATACCTCCCTGAGTGCCTGCTGCTGACATGCTCCACTTCACTCCCAGGAGCTGCCCTTGTACAAGGAGGAGCTGGAGGTTTACTTCTCACCAGGTGAGAGGCACTGTGAGCCTGCACTACACCGGGCTCCCCTGAGGCTCCCACCCCACCCACCCTCTGACTCCCACCTCCTGCCGCACTGCTCCCAGGCCACTTTGCCCATGGGTCAGACCGGCACATGCTGAGGCTGGAGGACCTGTTCCAGAGGTTCCCACAATTGCCCATGACCGTGGAGGTCAAGGCAGACAACGAGGAGCTCATTCACAAGGTGATGGGTGCTGCAGGTGGGGTGGGCTTGGCCAGGCAGCCCGGAGAGCTGGCTCCTAGCCTTGCCTTTCACTTTTTAGATCGCAGGCCTGGCAAGGCGCTTTGACCGCAGTAAGATCACCATCTGGGCCTCAGAGAAGAGCTCAGTCATGAAGAAATGCAGGGCTGCCGTGAGTCTCTCTCCCTCCAGGCCTGGTGCCTTCCTTCTAGGCACTGTAGCCCAGCCTCACCCAAGGCTCCAGGGCCAGGGGTTGGAGCACAGTGGCAAGGTGCTGGTGACAAGGTGTGACTGTGGCCTGTCCTCACCATCCGGCATGTTCTCTGCAGCCACTGCCTCCTCCCCTACAGCAGGATCTCCTTTCTCACTTCTCCCCTCACCTCCCCAGAACCCAGAGATGCCACTGTCCTTCACGATATGCCGGTCAGTCTGGATGGTGCTGCTCTTTTACCTGGGACTGCTGCCCTTCGTCTGCATCCCTGAGAAGTTTTTCTTGTGCTTCCTGCCTACCATCATCAACAGGTACCGGTGGCGCCAGATCTCATAGAAACAGCCCACAAGAGCCACACTGCTCAGGGTCCACTGTGCAGGGGGACAGCTCTGGGACACTGCAGAGAGAGCGAGCTACAGGGTCCTCTGAAGACAGTGTTTCTACCCAGCATTCACGAACCCTAATGGAGCTATAACTCCCTGAAATAATAATTATTGGGCTGGGGATTTAGCTCAGTGGTGCTGCCGGTTGCCTTGCAAGCACAAGGTCCCAAGTTTGATCTCTGATACAAAAAAGAAAAATTATTGAACTATGTAGCCCAGGCTGGCCTCAAACTCTTGCCTCAGCCTTCTGGGTGCTGGGAGTATAGGCGTGCACCACCGTGCCCAGGTAAACCCTGAAATTATGTGCAAGTATGCACTGATGTGCAGTTTCAGGAGAAAGGGCATTCATTCATCCACATTCTCTGGGGGAGATACTGCTGGAAGCCTTCTCTGGTCCAGCTGCAGTTACACTAGTAAATATCAGCCCATGGGCAGGTCAAGCCCTCCACAAGAGTAGTCTAGCTTGGTTGGTACAGCTGGCTCCCTGACCTTCCAAAGGAAAAGCTAGCTTCCTTAGACTGGATGCAAGGAGAAACAGTGACATAGTCAGAGGTCCCGATCTGGATGCTTCCCTGGCCCTCAGCCCGTGGTCCTGGCTGCTATTGCTGTCTGACAACCTCTCGGGTAGGCCCCAGTACTTCTGCTCCTTTCTGTTGTCCCCAAGGCAGTGGTGCTAACCCTGTGGCGTGCCCACCATAGATAGCGGGCTGTTTGTTACCATTAGAAGCTCTAGGGCCAATCCCTGTACCAAAAAAAAAAAAAAAAAAAAAAA